ATAAGAGGACAAAGTGAGGTCCCAGCAATGCACACCGCACAGTGTCGCAAACAACAAAGCTACACTAACCACGGCTTGGACCATCTACCTATGCCCTGTCATTATCGCCGTATCTAGACAGAAAGATGCCCCAAATACAGCTATAAAGACCAGGAATTTTATTCGGATGAAGACGGTAGGCAGTCTGAAGTGGCAACAGGTGCATTTGCACAGCTGCGAAATCCGCGATGCCCGCCGCACAAATGGTGGTTTTGACTGGAAGCCGACGCTGCGATTTCTCACTGAATAGAACACAGGGTCATGAGGTCTAACAAAGACAAGACAGTAGCGAATTGTAGAGAACAACATCCCGACTTGGTAAACCACACTTATCCTCTGCTAGTTGGCTCAGCTCCATGGCTGTTGGACAGTACATAACTATGTTTCTATGCATGGCACCAGTGGGACCACAGGTCCCATACAGCTACCCTCTTCCCCCAATCAGAATGCAGATTCAGCACAGGTTCCAGGCTAGGTGCAGCTACAAGGACCTTGTTTTACTCGGTGCAGAAAGGATCGACGAAAAATGCGCCACGCTAGATATGGTCATAAACCTACACATAGCAATCTGTCTTTCTCAGTGGCGCCCGACCCCTTGGGTCACGCCACACTGGTGCTACGTTTGTGCTTAGCATGTGAGCCACCTTTTTTAAGAGCTGACTCCATTCTTTCGGCACACTAATGCAGCACCATTGGGACCCAACCTCATGTTCAAGTCTTTGTACAGATGTCCGATAGCGTGGGTCGCAAAATATATGAACTCAGGACGCTAACTGCAGGATTCCAACACAGACCTTGACGCCATACGTTGGGGCGGGGTCTCGAGCTTGAGGCCCCATGGGTGTTTGGCTAAGCTTGAGAAGGGTCGGTTTGTGACCAGATCCATGCCGATTTAGCGCGGACATAGCACAAATGGAATGATCCGCAACAAAGATATGATGGGCGGGATTCGCCATAAAGACCTAAGCATGCCAATGCAAACAACTCTCTGCAGCAGTCAGTGAACAAGAAATGGACCGAGGGCCATCGCACAAGCTTTCTAAGCAATTTTCCACACCGGGTGCAGCGGATTCAAAAACAATACGTTCATGCAGTAGGTGGAACATCTGGACTTCTGAAGGAAACAGAGCGCCTGACTCGGAGTCGCTTCTCCATTTAAAGCGTCGAACGAGTGCGAGTATTACCATCTCTTTGAGTATATGCCTGTCAAAACAGTCAGATGCTTTTTTTTTTTTTTTTCCAAACAACACGCCCCCGTCAGTGTTAGTGGTGCTGCTGTCAGATGCTAAAACTGCACCCCTACCGCACAATGTAGGCCAGCCGCCAGTGTACCCCTCCGCGAGAAGTTCAAGGAGATTAGTAATGATACTAGAAATTTGTCATTGCAGCAATGCAACCCCTCATGCCCCTGCGGCTGTTCGATGCCAGAACGATGCTGGCCGGTGCTGGGGTGTTGCCCTGCAACCTGCTGATGCAGGAGTGTGAGGCCTGGTAGAGAGATCTGGGGATGCTTTGGGTTGGGCACTCCAAGGGACAACCAAGGGTTGCTGCTGGGACGAAGCTGGTCGGAGCTCGGGCGAGTCGTTTTGCCCTGTAAACCAGCAGGGTGGGGGTGTGAGGCCTGAAGAGCTTGGCAGGGAGTAAGACAGTGCTGGAGAGCTTTAGAAAGGTTGCTGGGGATCCACAGGGTTCTGCGCATTTGTAGGACCTCTGTGGTGGCGTGTTTTGTTGTGGGCAGACCTTTTTTCTGAAGTTTGTCGTAGTAATTTTCTAAGTAGCTCAAAATTTTCTTAGCCAAAGCTGGGTAATGGCCCCGGTATCTCAAACTTCCAAAATTGTATGTAAATTTCAATATGGGACACTGGGCCCGGTTCCCAGCACGTGCTGCTCCCCATGAATAGA